GGGCTGTGCCTAGAAAGGTTCATGATACTTTGTCTATTTTTTGGTTAGTCTCTAAGGGTGGGTCTAAATTACATTGCTCCGTTGATGGAGCCATGTAGATTAGGCTGATCGGCAAAGGGAAATGAAGCCGTGATTTAAATAATCACGGCTTCATTTAAATGGCTGCCGCGCTAAGCCAACAAACAGCTAATCAGCTGTTTGTCGGCTCAGCGCGCTAGTCTGGACGCTCCTGTGCCAACCTGAAAGCCCTTTATCGACCTCCCCATTATCCCTCGTAGGATGAGGAGGAAGAAGTCCTCCAGCCTGACAGTAATTTGACACTATTTCGAAATAATCGCCTGCTGTGTAGACGTGAACTCAGTTATTTTGGAATAGCTCTAGTTATTTTGAAATTATGTTGCAGTGTAGACATACCCTAAGGGTACATCTAGACAGCGAGGCTATAGCTACCCCATGTCTTTTAAACATGCCCGTTATTTTGAAATATTTTTCAAAATAACGGGTGCACTATTTTGGCATCCCTATGACCCTCATTCCACTAGGGTTAAAGGATGTGTTGAGATAGCATGTTATTTCAAAATGTGGCGCTGTGTAGATGAGCCAAATTTCAAAATAAGATATTTTTAAATGCAATCAAAATATTTGTGTAGTGCTAATTGCGTCTCTTATTTTGAGTTTAGGGTGGTATGTCTACACTGCGGAGCTATTTCAGGAAACCGGAAGTATCTCAAAATAGCTAATCTGTGTCTATTGAAGCAGCCCATTATTTTGAAATAGATTTTGAAATAACGGGCGGCTTCTTCCGACATCCAGGTAACCCTTATTCCATGAGGGTTGAGGGGAATTTCAAAATAGTGAATTATTTCAAAATTTGGCACTGTAAACAGTGCCAAATTATGAAATAAGCTATTTTGAAATAGCATCGAAATAAGCTACGTAATTTGCGTCACACAAATTGCGTAGCTTATTTCAAGCTAAGAGTGCTGTGTAGATGCACCCTTCCAAGGCTGTGTCTACACTACCAGGTTATTTAAAAATAATAACTCCTGAAATAACTATTTCAAAATAAGCTTATTCCTCTTCACATGCATGTAGTGTTATTTCAAGATAATGGGCTTGGTAGTGTGGACACTCAGCTTGTTATTTCGAAATGAGGGGAGCTATTTTGAAATAATTCTCCAGAGTAGACATGCCCTCAGGTGCTGCAGGACTGGTGTCGTTTTTAAGTCCATCAGGAAAGGGTTTGCTGGGAGGGAACTAACCAACTACATCACTATGAAGATTGACTTTAGAACGGGCTTGTTAAGTAGCCTGTAGGGGGTTTCTATGTGTGGGAACTCTGGATGTCAGAAAGCCTGAATTATGCCTACAGATGATGGACTAGGCAGGATCCCCCATTCACGCTTATTGGGAATTGTCATCACTTTGAGTCAAATTGGCTCCAGATGTTGCAGTCCTTGCAGGGAAATCTTGAAGGCACAGGCAAGCGGCTGGTGATTCGCGCCGGTGTCGTAACAGCTGGTCCCTTGATGTATTGGTCTTGTACCTGACAAGATTTAGTGCGGGCAAACCGAAGAGAGCAACCCCCCAGGAGGGGTTCCCTAGCACTGGGCTCCAGGAGACACGTTGTTTGTAAGGCTGGGGTGCAGGAAAACACCAAGAAGGACGCGGTTGTTGTTGAAAGTGTCTCTGACAAGTTCAACATCTTCATCTTTTCTGCGATAAACGTGTAGAGGAGCAAGCAGTTTGTAGTCGGCGGCGGGAGCATCTTGGCGACCCAATCAGAGCCCAGGACCCCGCTCTGCTAGGAGCTGTAGCTACAAAGACTGAAGGAAAAGATGGTCCCTGCCCCAGAGCTGGGCTCCAGTGCAAGTAATCCAAAGAACTCACCGCGCGTTACGACGGGGAGTAAATCCAGGCCAGGAAGAAGATTGACTGAAACTCCTACCACAGTGTCACTGGCAGGGGGTGGAGGAAAGATGCATGAATTGTTGGTTGCAGATTTGGGCTCCAAAGCAAGGGGCTACAGCCCAGATCCTCGAAGATATGGAGCTGGATTCCAGTGGGAGTGAGGGGCCGATATTCCTTTGGGGGTGTGGGGCTAAGGTTAGTTTGCTGACTCTCTAAGTACAGACCCCCCCTCACTGCAAACCCATATTCACTAGGAGGGTTCGTGGACTAGTCCCTGGGCTGGGCCCACAAAGCGGGGGGGGGGGGCAAAGGAAGGGGATGGAGTCGAGTCTTTAAGACCAACCCCTGCTCCATCAATTACAGCCCGTGACAGGGCTGAACGCTGCACAAAGTAGCTTGTCCATTGTGCTATCGCTCCTGCCGAGGGGCAATCCACAGTGGGGGCTGGAGGGGGGGGCTGCGCTTTGCTGTCCAGGGCACCGGCAAGAACTTTTCACTCCCTTTTCAGATTCCCGACCCCTTGTGTTGCCCGGGGGGTCGGCTCTCCGGGGACCAGGACTCTGTTATTTTCTTTTGGGGGGGGGGGGTCTGGATCGTGCAGTTGTATGGGGTGGGGGAAGCAGCAGAAGCTTTGCTCATGCTGCAGAGGAAGCACCGGGGGAATGGGGGGCAGGGTCCCATGCTGGCGTGAAGCAGCTTCATCCCCCACGGAGTGATGCCCGTTCACAGTCGCGGGGTCTTCTGTCTGCCTAGTGACCCGACTCCCCCTTGTAAGGCAAGAAAAAGACTCATAGTGAGCCAGGAGGGGCTGGTAGGCCTAGCAAACCTGTGCCCTTCCCAGTCTCATGGGGTTTGGGTTCCAAGCTAGGGACTTTCCCTTGGAACTTGTTTCTCCCTGTTCTCCTTGACTGTTCCCTACCCCACCTCTCCAGCCGGCGTCCTTCCCCCAGTAGGATTCTGGGAACCTCTTCTGCCAGCTACCTGGGCAGCTTTTTGCTGGAGACGCCCGCTTTCTGTGACGCCTCCACTTCTCTAGCAACTACCCCAGCTGTCTGACCCCCAGTCTTTCCTCCCCCCACAGCGGTAGGGCTGCTGAGGAGCTTAACCCTGGGACAGCATGGGATCCATACACCCCATGGCAGCAGGTTTTTCCATGACTGCCCATCATAGAATTTCTTATCCCTGCCCCTGTAATCCAAGGAGGTCTGTGGTGTGGAAGGAGAGGAGGAAGGCAGGTGATGCAGAGGAGGGAGAAAGGGCTGATTGTTTTGGACATGACATCTCTTTCCCCTTGTCCTCTGTTCGGTCCATTTCAGTTGGAGGTCCTGTGGGGCAGGGCCTCTCATCCTGTCTGAGGCACCCAGCACACTGCCGGGAGCAGGATCAATAAAAACAATTAACCATTCTAATAAACCTTCTTGTCCTGCTGGGATCGAGGTACGGGATGAGACGGACCATTGATCTGGTCCATCACGGTGACTCCCGTGATCCTATCCGACACATTTCCTCCATGGAGTTTGTTTTGCTTGCCTGTCATCATTAGCTGGGAGCGCATGGGCCCGGCAGTGATTTTGGATCTCACGTCCTGATATCTGGAAACTGTCCCTGCCAGAAAATTGTGGGTGGGGCAAAGAGAAACAGCAAGAACCATCATGTCCAAATGACTGTACCTACTAATGCACCCCAGATGTAAAGCGAAGGGGAAGAGATGGGGTGAAGTAGTACGGACCGTTATTTATTTGGCTTGTGGCAGTACATGGGCCCCAGGGTGGGGGACGTTGTGCGAACACAAAAGAAAAAGGCAACTCCTGCCCACAGTGAAGTAGGAGCAGGTTCAGCCTTAAAATCAGCGCTGGCCTGACCGTATAAGCGAACTAGGCGGTCGCCTAGTGCGCCAGGTTTTAAGGAGCACCAAAATAGACAGAAGTGAATTATCTTCTCCATTTAAAGTAATGTAGGAATATGTTATCTCCTGTGTATTTGAGAGAGTTTGTCTACCTGTCTGTCTGTGCATCTGTCCGTTAGTTCCAGAGTTGGTCTTCTCCTTCTTCTTCCTCTTCTCCTAATGTAAAGCAGGGTCAGGGCTGGTTGTGCCAGGACAACGGGACGTGCCTGGAATGGGGTTGCTTCTCAGAAAGCCACACAGAAAAGAGACAGACTCACCAGGCAGGTGCAAGGGGCTGGCTGGGGGTGTGCCCTCCCTCTGGGACTGCTCCTGTCCTGAGTCTCCCACCCCCCAGGTGTCCTTTAGAGGGTAGGGGGGGCTGAAGCCCTTCCCCAATTTATGCAGGAGCATTGCCGGCTGCTTCCCTTCGTCAGGGCATGAGGGGAAAGTGCCCAGTTTGATGCGTCCTCACTCTGGCTGGGGAGCACACAGGGCAGATGAACCTGACCTGCCCCAGTCAGGGACATGCGCCCCTCCCCCAGCTGTGTCCACTGGAGCTGCAGTGGCCAGGGACAGGCACTTCTCACCTGGCCCCAACCTGCTGCAGTGAGAGAGGGCTGGGGTTGTCCTCTTCCCCCCCCCCTTCCCCCTGGGGCAGTCTGCCTCCTGAACCCCTCACCCAGCCCCACCCCAGAGCAATGCTTTAAATCAGGGGTGGGGAACCTTTTTTGGGTCGGGGGCTGCTGACCCACAGAAAAATCAGTCAGGGACCTCAGACAAGTGAGAGGCAAAAACAAAATGGTGAAGTGGCCCCTGGCTGAGGAGAAAGACCCTCCCAAATTCCCCTCCCACACCAGAAGCTGTGGGACATGCATCTCTCCCCTAGTTGTGCCCACTAGAGCTGCAGCAGCTATGGAGAGGTACTTCTCACCTGGCCCCAAGCTACTGCAATGAGAGAGGGCTGGGGTAGATCTCTCTCCCCAGGGCAGCCCACATACTGAATGCCTCATCTCTAGTCCCATCCCAAAATAATAAACGAAGAAAACCAAAAATGAATTGAGTTAAGAACCCGAGCAACATGGGGGAAATCTTCTGGCCTCTTGAAAACGAAAGTGTTAAGTACTGCATGTGTCAAACAGCGTGTCGTTGCCATGTCAGACGCTGAGTTACACTGTTTATTTCCCATTGTGGAACAAGGCTGTGTATGTAAATACAGGTAAAATGTGTCACGGTGTAGCTTCTGAAGAGCGCCACCTGGGGGCGGGGTCTGGCAGGTCAGTCAGTCGGAACAGCCCAGTGTTGGCCAGTGTTGCTTGCTGCTTAGCGAGGACCGGTCCAAGACCGGCCACAGCTGTTCTGCCGTGTTCCGAGCTGCGATCCCGCCAACGCCGTGCTGACGATGTGTTTGTACTGTTGTTGGTCTTGAAAAAATTGGTCAGAGGTTTTAACAAGAGTGTAAACGGAGACTCAACGAATTTGTAAGATTAAGAGTGTGAATTTATGGAAGAATGTTAGGGTGCATCTACACAACGCTTACTTCGAAACAGAGCTTCTTCCTCTGACTTCCTTTCTCCTTGTACAATGAGGTTCATAGATGTCAGAGTAAGAAGCCTGTTTTTTCAAATTTATTTTGAAATAACGGGCTTGCTGTGCAGGTGAGCAACACGCTATTTCGGAATAACACTGCTATGTAAACGTACCCTCATGCTTCAAGTAATCACAAAGCCCAGATTTTCAAACCCCTGACTGCTAATGTTAACAAATACCACTTAACATAGACATTCCTTTCCATTCTAATTGCAGTCCAATTGATTTGCATATATTGAATGAGGGGGGGGGGAACAAAGTCATAGTTTGCCAGAGGCACCAAAAACCCTTGGGCTGGCCCTGCTTAAAATCTTTACTAAGTAGACGGAAAGAATCAATTCAAAAATGAGACCTGATACCTGCAGTTGTGTGGCTTTAAATCATTGCAGAAAATGTTGCCGCAAACATCCAAGTGGCAGGGCATGGATTTTTTACCCTGAGCTTCGCTAGTTTCAATTGATTTATTTTTACCTTGGAAGCATTTATTGTCTGCTGCAGGGATGACTGGCTCTAGCTAAGGAGTAGATGCTTTTCCACGGCTGGGGCAGGGCATCTAATGGGTGGGAGCTTTCTACAATTTCCTCTCAATTTCTCTGCCTCTTCCAGCTTACAGCACAGCTGATCAGCCAGATATCAGAACTCAACCACCTGCCTCCAGTGTGAGATCTCCGTGAATTTAACACCCAAATGCCTTTACTTCTTCAGTTTACCAGCTCAGCCATAATATTTGGTGGGTGGTGATAGGAGTTAGAATAACTCCAAAGGGCTGGTCCGTCCCCCCCCCCCCCCCCCTTCTAGCTTCAATGGCTCATCCTTTGGAGCACCACATTGGCTCAAGGCGATTTCAGGGTTTAGGGGTGGTTATGGATGGAGCAGAACTCCTGGGCTGATTTCAGGAGCCCGGACGTCACATGGATGGGACCCATGGGCAAGCGGGACTCCAGCCAGTTTCAACCACAATGAAACCAGGAAAAGCTCTTTGGCTGCCAAGATCACCTCTGACTACTCCAGAGAGGTTAAAGAGCCACGCAAGAAGGGGTATTTTAAGGCTGTGTTTGTAAGAAGCTTCTTTCTGGAGTCTGTTTCGTGCTAGTCAATCGGCCTGCATTGCTTCCCATTGGGAATAATACGCTGTAGTGAAGAGGGACTAGCCGTAAATTCCATAATACACGTTTTGATAATTTTTCAGAGCCTGCCCACCCCTTTGAAACAAACAGCTTGGTTATGCAAATGTCAGGACCCACCCACCCAGCCATTACCTTATAGTCCTCCCCATCAGGGAGGTAGTGTGGCCTAGTGGCTAAGACAGTGGATTAGGCCACAGACAAGGCAGGCTCAATTCATTCCTCTGCTGCTCAGTGACCATGGTCCGGATGCCTCATCTCTCTTTGCATCAGTTTGTGAAGCCGAAGTTTTGCGCAAAAGGGACTTTTGCCCGAACGGGAGCAGCATAGTATTTCCGCAAAAAGCACTGATTTCTTACAGTAGGAAGTCAGTGCTTTTGCGGAAATTCAAGCGGCCAGTGTAGACAGCTGGCAAGTTTTTCCGGAAAAGCAGCTGATTTTCCAGAAAACTGGCCAGTCTAGACATAGCCATAGAGTACTCCAAGTGGAAGGGACCTCAAGAGTCGATGGACATGAAGCGTTTACCTTGGCCCCAGCTTCACTACAACCAGGGAAGAACCCCACAGGTATGGACCAGTGGTGCAGTGGCATTGTCACTGCCAGATAGCTCAGGCAGATGGCATGTCCTGCGATGGGCACTAAAGAGGCTGATTCAGAGATCTTGCCCAGGCAGACGGTATGAGATGGTGGCACGTTGTTCCCTGGGCTGCCCAATGCTTTTCTCCTCCTTTTCCAGGATCCACCCCAAAGCTCTGAGACGATTTGCTCTGTCCGAGTGGCAAACCACTGGCAAAACTCCCCTGATGTGTCTGGCCTGCTGCCCCTTCCTTCCCCCTGCCCCCACTTCACTTTCTCTTCACCCACAGCTTTCTTCACCTCTCTCCTCCACCCGTCTGCCACTTGCAATCACCCCGTTTCATGGAAGATGGTCGAGAGAGTCCCTTGGCTGGGGATCGGCTCCTGACTGAGCGCAGGTCTGGTCGCCCTATGTCGAAAGAGACCTATTCGAGCCGGTACAGACAAAGGCAACAAAACTTATGTGCACGATGGAAGAGCTCTGGTTGGAGAGAATTGTGACGTGCGTGGAGAAAGTGAATGGGGAGACGTTATTTACACCATCTCAAAGCACAAGCACCAAGCAGGGAGGTCGCTCCATTAAATGAAGAGGTGGCGGGTTTAAAACAAACCCACGGACGCCCCTCTCCTTACAGCACACGGACAGTGTGTGGAGCTTGTTGGCTTCGAACAGGAATGGAATAAGTTCCTGGAGGGTAGGTCCACCAGTGGCCATGGGCCACGGTGGGCTGGGACGTGTGGCCTTTCGGAGCCCCTGAACCTCCGACTGCCAGAAGCCGGGATTGGCCAATGGGATGGATGAGTCAATAGTTCCCTGTTTTGTTCCTTCCCTTTAAAGCCCTGGCATTGGCCGCTCTAGGACAGGACACTGGACTAGGTGGACTTTTGGTCTGACCCAGTGGGGTTGTTCCAATGACTAAGCCCCATCATCGGGGTCTCAGCTTTCCCATCTGTAAAATGGGAACAGTGATCTGTACTCTCCTTTGGCCTCTTGAGACGTGGCAACGAAAAGCACCCTGCGCGGGATTCATATCCCGCAGGGGCTGCCCGTCAGAGCTGGTTCATTTAACCATTGATAGCTGGGCTTTGCCGAGAGCTACCCACCTGTTAACCAAGAAGGGCCTGCACTCCCCTGGGGTGGCTACTCCCGTTAGCCAGTCCCTTGCTGTGCAACGAGGCTCCGCCACAGAGAACCCCGGCTTCCACGTGGGGAAGAAGAGGAGAGCTTGTGTGTCCGCCCTCCGCCCTGGGGTCCCTTCTCCCTCCCAGCCCCCTTTCCTCCTGCCCCCCGACGCTGCCTCGGCTGCTTTGCGGTTGTTCACAAACACCATCGGCGCGTGTCCCGAGCTGCGTGTGGCATTCATCAATTTGATGAGGACGCTAAAGCTTTCTCTTTGCACCTAATTATGGGCTGATTTATGGGGCTGGCCTTGTGTTTGATGGAGCCCCCCCCCCCCCCACCCAGCCCTCCTCTCTCCTGCTCTGTCATTCTCAGCCCAATACTCACGTCTCTCTCTTCTCACCGGCCCGTCCCATCCCCTCTGCCCTGTCCCCCCCACACCTCTCCGCTCTGGGTACCCTCAGGAGAGCCGTAATGACCTGTTCGGGACAGTGAAGCATTGCTCCCTCTCTGCTGCATCTGTCTCTGGCAACGCCGCTCTCCGGAGCTCTCCGGCACATCCAGATGGAGAACCCAGCAGGCAAGGCAGGGCCCTAGCCCTGGAACGCTGCAGATTTCCTCTGGATGCAGGTGATATCGAGAGCCGGGGTAAACCGCGTCACTGGCAGAGCTCTCGCGGGACCACTAGGTCCCTGTTCTTAAAATCCCATTGGTATCTCTTAAGAGCAATAAATTGCATTTGCACAGCACATCCCGCCCAAGGATCCCCTCTCACCCAAAGACGACGAAGGAGGCACAAGACAGAGGTCTATAAAATCGTGATGGATGTGGAGAAAGCAAATAGGGAAGTGTTATTTGCCCCTTGTCACAGCACAAGAACTAGGGGTCACCCAATGAAACTAACAGGCCGCAGGTTTAAAACAAACCAAAGGAAGTTTTTCTTCCCACAGCGCACCGTCGACCTGTGGAACTCCTTGCCAGAGGATGTTGTGAAGGCCAGGACAATAACAGGGTTCAGAAAAGAGCTAGATAAATGTAATGGATGATAGGTCCATCAAGGGCTATTAGCCGGGCTGGGCAGGGATGGTGGCCCAAGCCTCTGTTTGCCAGAAGCTGGGAATGGGCGACTGGGCTGGATCACTCAATGATTCCCTGTTCTGTTCATTCCCCCTGGGGCAGCTGGCATTGGCCACTATCAGAGACAAGATACTGGGCTACATGGACTTTTGGTCTGACCCAGAGTGGCCGTTCTTATGTCAAGGATCTCAAAGTATTTAGCCAAGTGTAATTCACTAAGCTGCCCAACTCTCTCGTGACATAAGCATTCCTGTCCCCATGTTACCGAGAGGGAAACTGAGTCACAAAGTGAGACTAGGGATCAGAGCTAGGCCTGAATGGAACCCTTTTGAAAGCACCTAAAATGTCCGGTATTTTCTGAATTTTTCCCCGGCCAGGAGGCGAAAATGCCGGGCACCTGGCAACCGCCTCCCCCTCCTTTTTTCCCCCCTTCAACAGAATTTTTCCTGGTGGTTTTTTTTTGGTGGGGGTCAGTATTTTTGTTTCAACCATCTGGCAACCCTACTGCTATTGTGTTCTTTCAACCGAAAGGCGAAAGAACAGAGGGTTTTTTTACGACAGTGGTAAGCCTCTTTCTACGAGGAAGAAGCCTTTTTCCAAAGATCTCTTTCAAGAAAAGGCATGTGTGGATGCAGAAGAGGGGGGTTTTTTTCAAATGAAGAGGCCTCCAGGAAAAAGCACAGGTGCCCTGGTGGCCACTCCGTCCACGGTAATCACAACTGAAATGCGAGAGAGCGTCCAATCAATACGGACACTATCTTTAGCAAAAGCACATGGCTTTTTCGTTGCGCTTTTGCTGTGTGGACGCTCTCTTCCAAAAGAAGTCTAGACATAGCCTGAGCTTCTGCCATAGCTTCAACATCAAAAAGGGTGTCACAAGGAGGGGGGGGGGGAATTGTTCTCCTTGGCCTCTGAGGACAGGGCAAGAAGCAATGGGCTTAAACTGCGGCAGGGGAGGTTTAGGTTGGAGAACAGGAAAAACTTCCTACTTGTCAGGGGGGTGAAACACTGGAATAAATTGCCTAGGGGGGCTGTGGAGTCTCCATCCCTGGAGAGATTTAAGAGCAGGTTGGCTAGACATCTATCAGGGATGAACTAGATGGTGCTGGGTCCTGCCGTGAGTGCAGGGGACTGGACTCGAAGACCTTTCGAGGTCCCTTCCAGTCCTGGTGTTCTAGGATTCTAGGATTCTATCCAAGTGACAGCTACGCGGCCATCTCTAGCAGGAGCCCTGTGGTCACAAATCATCCTATTCACCTTGCGGGATCTTGGTCCAAGAAGATGCTCCGTGCCTGCGTGGAAGTGGGGGTACCTCGGCGTCCGCCCATGTACTGCACACATGCTCCGCTGCACTCCAGAAGACACATATTAACGCCGCCAGTGCTGAAGTCTTGTCCAGAGAAGCAGATGCTTGTGGAGGGTGACGCTGGCTGCGAGGAACAGATGAAAAGGCGTCTCTGCCGCGGAGTGAATTCCATCAGACCTGCGGCAGCTGCTCCCCAAGTCTCTGAAAGCAAAAGTCCTCATGAATAAATATTAGGGGGTGGGGGATGAGGCTTCCAGAAAACAAAAGGAACGCAAAGGAAGTTACTGAGGGACGCGGATCTTTCATCTCAGCAAAATACGATAGAGTTGGGGATTTTTTTTAGTGAGCCAGAAGGTCTATAAACTGCTACTCCCCTGCCTGTGAACACACGAGCTTTCTGCATTAGTGATTTCGTGTGGGACCGGAGTCAGCCTCCTGGAACAGCTCCATAATCATTTGATCTAAAGGGAGAGCCCGGAGCTCTCCAGTTGCGAAATGCAGGGCATGCCCTGGAACAAAGTTTGCAGGGTGGGGAAAGGCCCTGGCTTTGAGTTGTGTTGTTGCCCTGGCTTTGAGTTGGGTCATTGCCCTGGCTTTGAGTTGGGTTGTTGCCCTGGCTTTGAGTTATATTGTTGCATTGGCTTTGAGCTCTGTTGTTGCTCTAGGTTTTTGTTGTGTTGTTGCTCTGGCTTTGAGTTGTGTGTTGCCCTGGCTTTGAGTTGTGTTGTTGCCCTGGCTTTGAGTTGTGTTGTTGCCCTGGCTTTGAGTTGTGTTGTTGCCCTGGCTTTGAGTTGTGTTGTTGCCCTGGCTTTGAGTTGTGTTGTTGCCCTGGCTTTGAGTTGTGTTGTTGCCCTGGCTTTGAGTTGTGTTGTTGCCCTGGCTTTGAGTTGTGTTGTTGCCCTGGCTTTGAGTTGTGTTGTTGCCCTGGCTTTGAGTTGTGTTGTTGCCCTGGCTTTGAGTTGTGTTGTTGCCCTGGCTTTGAGTTGTGTTGTTGCCCTGGCTTTGAGTTGTGTTGTTGCCCTGGCTTTGAGTTGTGTTGTTGCCCTGGCTTTGAGTTGTGTTGTTGCCCTGGCTTTGAGTTGTGTTGTTGCCCTGGCTTTGAGTTGTGTTGTTGCCCTGGCTTTGAGTTGTGTTGTTGCCCTGGCTTTGAGTTGTGTTGCTGCTCTAACTTTTTGTTGTTTTGCTGCCCTGGCTTTGAGCTGTGTTGTTGTGCTGGCTTTGAGTTTTATTGTTGCTCTAGCTTTTTGTTGTGTTGCTGCCCTGGCTTTCAGTTGTGTTGCACTCCAGTCTCTGCACAATGCCGCAACCCCAGGGAAACACTTCCCTGACTCCCAGCTGTCTTGCCTCTCCAGGCTGGCACTTCTACCAGGCAAACTGGGTGCATAAATCAATTCCCAGGGGAAAGTCCCAGGGACACAAGCTGGTCCTCGGGGTCCTGCCGGCAGCTGAGACTGGCTGATAGGGGATGGATCCTTCGAGGATCCCCTGGTCTGGACACCTGGCATTGGCCACTGTCGGAAGGCAGACACTGGGCACCAGGGCCCGTTGGTTTAACCCAGCCTGGCCGCTCTTGTTTTTTAATTTTTTGCAAGTCTAATCACCTCCGCCGCCCGAGCCGCTGCATCCTCCATCCCCTGTTGGGGGGGCAGCCGCTCCATGGGGTGGGGCTGTGCTCAGGGCTGTGGGGGTACGATCAGGGAGGAGACACCAGGGGTTGGGGAATTGGGTCAGGTGGAATTGGGAGGCCAGGGAAGGGGGCTGGGAGATTGTCACTTTAACACTTCACACCTAGCAGGATGGACACTGGAGACTACAAACTCTGGGCCAGATTCCTCACTGCCTTAGGTGGTGATTTAGACTCAGGACTGTCCTTAAGCTCACACAGCATACGCAGCTGTGCAGGGCACTGCTACATTTGGAGCACCAGTGGTACTCTGAATTTAGTAGTGCCCTGGGCCCTCATTTTTTTTCCATATATGTGTGGAATAAATTTTGCTATGTGCACCGAGGCGTGTGCAGCTGTGCACCACCACTAGGTACACGTGGCGCTGGCTGTGGGCACTCTGCTAAGCAGCCAGGTGGCATTTGACTCTTCCCTGGGCAGCCGGCCGCATGCTCCACTTACAGGACAGGCTAGTCAGGACAGGCGGTAGAGGCCGGATACCAGAGCCCAGGGTCAAAGATGGAGTCAGGTGGGCAGGGATCAGAGAGGAAGCTCAGAATCAGGTAATCCAGATTGAGGCAGGGCAGGGTCCAAGGCAGGAGCAAGGCTGGAAACCTGCAGCACAATCACAGCCATGGACAGATGCTCTGAGCAGCCACGGAACTGCTGGTGGTGGACTTCACAGCTGGACTGCTGACCCTGCCAGCATCCCCACGCACAGCATCCCAACACACAGCATCCCCACTCACAGCAGCCCAGCACACAGCACCCTCATGCACAGCATCTCCCACATAGCATCCCTACACACAGCATCCCCACTCACAGCAGCCCAGCACACAGCACCCTCATGCACAGCATCTCCCACATAGCATCCCTACACACAGCATCCCCACTCACAGCAGCCCAGCACACAGCACCCTCATGCACAGCATCTCCCACATAGCATCCCTACACACAGCATCCCCACTCACAGCAGCCCAGCACACAGCACCCTCATGCACAGCATCTCCCACATAGCATCCCTACACACAGCATCCCCACTCACAGCAGCCCAGCACACAGCACCCTCATGCACAGCATCTCCCACATAGCATCCCTACACACAGCATCCCCACTCACAGCAGCCCAGCACACAGCACCCTCATGCACAGCATCTCCCACATAGCATCCCTACACACAGCATCCCCACTCACAGCAGCCCAGCACACAGCACCCTCATGCACAGCATCTCCCACATAGCATCCCTACACACAGCATCCCCACTCACAGCAGCCCAGCACACAGCACCCTCATGCACAGCATCTCCCACATAGCATCCCTACACACAGCATCCCCACTCACAGCAGCCCAGCACACAGCACCCTCATGCACAGCATCTCCCACATAGCATCCCTACACACAGCATCCCCACTCACAGCAGCCCAGCACACAGCACCCTCATGCACAGCATCTCCCACATAGCATCCCTACACACAGCATCCCCACTCACAGCAGCCCAGCACACAGCACCCTCATGCACAGCATCTCCCACATAGCATCCCTACACACAGCATCCCCACTCACAGCAGCCCAGCACACAGCACCCCAACGCACAGCGTCCCCACGCACAGCATTCCCACTCACAGCACCCCAGCACACAGCTCCCCAATACACAGCATCCTCATGCACAGCATCTCCCACATAGCATCCCTACACACAGCATCCCCACACACAGCACCCCAACACACAGCATCCCCACACTGTCGTGGTGTTTGCGGCGTGCACACCGAGAAGCAAGATAAAAACATCACTACATTTTCTAGACGGTTGCAATGTCACCTGAGTTGATTTCTTAGGACTCAGAATGATGCCCCAAGAAGCCGATGTCAGCCAGAAGCAAAGCAGGCTGCTCCCTCGAACAGACAGGTCCCACTCACTCCACCTTATTCTGAATTGTTGGTCTGTGCCTTGTCTGCAGCTAAGCCCTGCTTGCATTCTTCTCCGCAAAGCCCCCTAGCCCACAAGCAGGATCAGGAGAAACCCCTAAATTGAAAATGACACCCTGTCATTTTAACACAGTTCAAAGGCATCACGTCCAATGAAATCCCCTTTATCTCCATCCCTCAAACACACCTTCTCCTGTCCCTCATCGGTGAAAATACTCCGAACAAAAAAAAATCTTGTTCATCTAAACAAACCAAACCAGCAGTTATCTTCCGATACAGCCAGGAATCCCGATCCCACGCACGGGGGATCCCGAAGACTGTCTCTTTCTCGGCTCGTCTGGTCTCCCTCCCTTATCGGCGAGATACGGCCTTATCTGATTGACAAATTCTGGAGACGGTACAAAGCAGCTCGATGTTGATCAAAGGCACTGGGCAGTGCCGAGCGACCGAAGAACGGAGACTCAGCCAGGCTGGGAGAAAGTGAGAGTGCCGGCTGAGCGGCGACGGGGGGGAGCGTGTTTCTCGGGGGGAGGAGAACAATTCTCTGACTGGCCCGAGAAGCAGAGCCTGAAGGCTTGGATAAGAGCACGCTGAGACTGAGCAGGACCAGGACAGCCGGGGGATGTTCTGAGAGAGTCCAGGGACGCTGTCAGCCCCTTGACACCACGTGCAGGCTTTCTGGAGCACAGCAGCTCAGCCACGGGGGGGAAGCTGGCATATAGCTCCCACTGTACAATAGCCAGGGCCATTTCGCAGGCCTGCCTCTTCTAAGCAGTGGGGCTCGGGAGCTATCACTGGGCTTGGCTCTCGCTGAAGAAGGGCTGCAGGGTATGATCTGCCCTGCTATCTTTTTTTGGAATAGCTTAATAGTGTGGTTAGTCCCCAGGAAAGAGGCTGAGTCCACAATAAGCTGCAGTATGAACAACAGCAATGTAAGCTTGCTGTGACTGGTGGGGGGGTCTGCCCCGCGCTGGCCCTTTAAGGGTAAAACCCAACCCTGGGAGAGCAAAGCCCCACAGCTGAGGCACAGACAGCCAATGATGGCCCAGCTGGGGCTCTATAAATAAGGAGAGAATGGAGGACAGTCACTCTTGCTCCAGCTGGGGAGGAGGAGGGACCTGGCTGCCAGGGAAGCTGGGGGTTTCCTGAGACAGAGCAGGGCTGGGGAAAGGAAGGAAGGCAGGCAGGCAGGCCTGAGGAGCTCAGGCCTGACCTTGCTCCCAGGCTGCAGGGCCTGGGGCAAGGCCTGAGTGTACTAAGGCTGCAGGGAGGCAGCCAGTGATAGGAGAAGGCTGCAGGCCCATGCCCTCCTGGCCAGTGCTGAGTGACCATGTCAGATGGAGGTTTGTCCTTGAGGCAGGGGCTAGATGATGCCTGGCGGGGGTCACTGAGGCAAGGTGGGCCTAGGGGGTTTGGGGGGCTTCTCAGAGGAGGACCCCTGAGTGTGGGGGCCCTGGGATAGGGCAGTACCCAGAGGTGGCTGGTTTTGTGGCCCTCTGGGGGCCATGCCCCACCAATATTCAGAGATGTGAGCCCAGCTCCACCAGGGCTGGGGCTGATATGTCCAGAGCTGTCCCGTCCATAGGACAGGCTGTACTAGCCTATTTGCTCCCTCTTATAGGCATTAGCAGGAGCATGGGCAGCAGGCCCGACTGAGAAGGGACGTGAGAGCAGCTTTCAAGAACCTAAAAGGGTGTCACAAGGAGGAGGGAGGAAAATAGTTCTCCTTGGCCTCTGAGGACAGGACAAGCAGCAATGGGCTTAAACTGCAGCCAGGGAGGTTCAGATTGGACATTAGGAAAAACTTCCTGCCTGTCAGTGATGAAACACTGGAATAAATTGCCTAGGGGGTTGTGGAATCTCTGTCCCTGGAGCTATTGAAGAGCAGGTTGGACAGACACCTGTCAGGGATGGACTAGACAGTGCCTGGTCCTGCCGTGAGGGCAGGGGACTGGACTGGATGACCTCTCGCGGTCCCTGCCAGTGTTAGCATTGTATGATTTGGTGACGTAGGGAAGTGAATATTCCCCTTTATTCGGCCCTGGGGAGGCCACATCTGGAGTATTGTGTCCAATTCTGCCCCCTCTCCGCTGCCCCCCCCCACTACAGAAAGGATGTGGATGTGTTGGAGAGGGTCCAGCAGAGGGCAACCAAAATGAATCGGGGGCCAGAGCCAATGACTTAGGACAGGGCTGGGAACCCTTTTCGGGGTCAAGGGCTGCTGACCCACCGGAAAATCAGTCGAGGGCTGCACAGAAGTGAGAAGCAAAACACAAAAAGCAAACCCCCCCCCCACCGGCCTGGCTCCTGATTGAGGAGACAGACCCTCCCCACATTCCCCTCACACCCCTGAGCCTAGGGGGGGCCAGGCTAGTAGATTCTGTGGGCTCCAGACCCATGGTAGGGTGGTTGGAGCAGCAGTGGTGGCTTGGAGCGCCAGTGTGGGCTCTCCAATGTTGGGGGGGGACCCTAAGCCTTAGGGGCTGGATCCAGGCAAGCTGGGGCATATCTAGCTCAGTTCTCCACCTTTGACTTATGAACAGAGGCTGGGGGATTTGGGCGTATTCAGTCTGCAGAAGAGAAGAGCAGGGGGGGATTTGGTAGCAGCCTGCAACTCCCTGAAGAGGGGTCCCAAAGAGGCTGGACAGGGGCTGTTCCTAGTGGGGGCAGATGACAGAACAAGGAGCAATGGGCTCAAGTTGCAGTGGGAGAGGTCTAGGGTAGATATTAGGAAAAGCTATTTCCCTAGGCAGGTGGGGAAGCGCTGGGCTGGGTTCCCTAGGAAGGGGGTGGAGTCTCCATCCCTAGAGGTGTTTAAGGTCTGGCTGGACAAAGCCCTGGCTAGGATGATTGAGTTGGGGTACATCCTGCTTTGGGCAGGGGGCTGGACTTGATGACTCCTGAGGTCTCCTCCAGCCCTGGGGTTCTAGGATTCTAGGATCCTTGGCTTCTGTGCTGAGACTGTCAGCCAAGATGAGCACAGCCACCAAGATCTGACATTGTTTACCCCTCTGGTCTGGGTTAACACTGGTTATTTTCACCTGACGTAGGTCAGATCGTCATCACTTGGACTCACCGGCACCCTGGATCTGACTTGAGGGAAAGTCTTCTGGCTGGCTCTTGTTATCGCACAACCCGCCTCCTAAATCCAACTGGCGTTTACCCATGTGGGGCACTGGTTCCAATCCGGTCAGAGAGCAAGAGAGCAGAAAAATGCCAATCCCGTTTTTTTAATGCTCGTTCTCTAGGGAAATACCACAGGCCACTGGTCCCAGGATACTCATCTCTGGCACACCAAGGTCCTGAATCTGACTGATACAAACAAGTAACGATAAAATCACAATCCAAGTGTATGTTGCCCCTCTGTGCATGGAGGGAGGGTCCGGTTTCATGCTAAGCAAATGATTTCACCTCTTGTGGCCATCTACAGCAGACAAGAGCCTCCCAAAATGCTCAGCTCTGTTACAGGATTTACCGACTTTCTTACTCTGTGATTTCAGCTGCTCCAGTATTTGTCTGGCTGGCTTTTCGCCTCCCCAGACAGCCTTATGGAGAGGCAGTGTGCCTTACTGGGTAGCGTACAGGACTGGACAGGCACACGTACCCCCCAGAAAAAATGGGTTCTCTTCTTCGCTCTCACCTGCCCAGTGACTTTGTGCAAGTCAGTGCCCCCTCTCCGTGCCTCAGTTTCCCCAGCGATAAAATGGAGATAATGATAGTGACCTCTTTGGGAGAGGGCTTGGAGATGGATGAGGGAAAAGCTCTACAGTTTGTAGAGAAGACCATGTGGCTGTAGGCTCACCTCCAGTATGCTCCCCTGAAATTAATTCCCAGAAGTTTCTATGTTGTGCAGTGGGTCACACAACAAATTCATAATCTGTGCTGCCTTGACCCTTCAGTGGAGCTATGACAATTGGCACCAAGTGAGGACCTGGCCTGTCTACCTGAGTGGAGTTACCCCCGATTTAGGATGGTAGGAACAAGAGGAGGATGGGGCCCAGAAGAAATGCTGGGAGCTTTGCTTCATTTGTATGTATCTCCAAGGGTTCATATTAAGGCCCCAATAGAAAGAACGGGGCTGTGGCATTAACCAAATGTACTGCCTTCCTGTCTTCTTACCCCATGGATTCCTGAACAGCTGGTGGAATTCCTCTAGAGAGAAGTTTCACCACAAAACAGCAGGTGCTATTCGGTGATTAAAAAAAAAACACCCCAAGCCCTAGCAACACCAGCCACGTCAGGTTAGATGCTACTTCTGTACGTATCTATTTCTCCAGCTAGGTAGAAGCAGAAATTCCTGCAAACTGGGGGAGGCCAGGGGGAGAGGCAATGGAAGAACAGCCACCAAAATTAGCAAGGTTCTCAGGCCAGGAAAAAGGCAAGTGGTTTGCCCAGGACGCAGCGAAGGCAACGGTGTGACGTTTCTTTGTGCACAATGGAATCATGCAGCCGATGTGCAGTGCCTCAGAACACCTGAGATGGCTCTGGGGCGTTGGATTTTTTTCTCTTTTGGATGGGTGGAGACAAGGTCTGGGTTGGCTGGGTGTCCGTGGGCTGTACGTGTGGCTCCACTAGGGTGCATCTGTGGGCTGCATGAGCAAAGGCAGCTTTCTTCCCTGATTAGGGCTCTGGGGTGTGTTTCTGCTGTAACTATAATTAGGGAGGGGCTCTTTGTTTATTTAGGCTGAGAGCTTTAAAGATAAATGACAGCGCCAGAGATGTTTTTCAGCACTTCATAAATCAAGTGCCAGCTGGTCAGTTTCACCTCTGAAATGTCTTGCGCATTGTGGGGTTTTGGGGGTGTTTTTTTTTTTTAACTTTCAAAAATGGTGCGCACGCGCACGCACACACACACACACACACACGGCAGGGAGTGTGTAGAGCTGTGGTGTTGCCCTTTTGAAAGACTGGAAAGCCATTTCAAATCAGACCCCCTCGCCTCATTTCCATTTCTGAATTAAAAGCTGTGAGGCGACATCGTCAGCAAACATTTGGCAAGGCCGGAGACACCCGGCAGGCTGACTGACAGACGGGTAGGCCCACGTCTGCACTGACACATACATTTTCTCATTTAATTTAATGCCTCTTTTCACCGTCTCACTCAACACGTCTGGAGATTTACAGGTGATGGGTTTTTTCCCCCCTTAGCAGAGGATTTATAGTTTGCAGGGATGGCTGGTGCATAGCAGCCCATGCAGGCGCTTGTGCCAAATGGGACGCTGTTCACTTTCACAAGTTAGACAAGATTGCTGGTCGCTGGCAGCGATGGCCTCTCCTTGGGCAAGAGCTAAACAGGTTTCACTCAAACAGTGCTCATGCTTTGAAGTCCTCCAGACCGCTCAGCACCCCCTAGCCAGGCCTAGGTTTGCATGATCTCTGTGCCAGTTGGAAAGATAGGTCCGGGGGCAAGGTGTCTGAGGGCCGCTGGTTTTTCTGAAGGAGGTGGTGAAGAAATGCATAGTGGCTGGGATTTTCAAAAGAGCTCAAGGGAGTTAGGCACCCAGAGGGAGTCGTTAGTGGGAGTTAGGGGCCTGAATCCTTTTCTGCATCCCACCTTTGTTCCAGCATAGAATCATAGAATCCCAGGGCTGGAAGAGACCT